AAATAATCCCCGCTTCATTAAAATAAAAATGCCTGCTGCGCTATGCTGACAATCAGCTGATCCAGTACAACACAGCAGTCTAGACGCGGATCGGTCAACAAGGGAAGCCTTTGTTGACCACTCCGGTATGCCTTGTGAAACTACTTTACATGGCTCTGAAGACGGAGCAGTGTAGTCTAGATGCACCCTGTGTGGGACTGGAATTCCCTCTCCCTAGAGGTTTGACAGATTTTCTTTCCTCACAACTCTGAGAGAGACAGAGAGTTATGTTTTATAAAAGTCCAGTTTGCAACCTACAAACATCTTTTGACTCAGGAAGATGTCTTATGAACTGTCTGGTTTCGTATGACTCAGTGACCCATGTTGGGAACAAACAAAAAGAGATCTCCCGAAGCCACATGGTGCTACACAACCTGAAAAAGGTCCTAGAGGTGAGACACACTGATACGTCAGATTGTCTTCTAATTCCAAATGAGTGAGATATTGGACAGAGGAAGAGAAGTAGGAAACCAAGTGATGTTCATTTACAAATCCAAAACTGAACAAAGATCCAGGTTTAGTTTAGTGGATGAATATTAGTTTGAGCAACTTTGTTTGTTTGTTTGTTTGTTTTTGCTTGCTCATAGGTTTTAATGGGAAATGGACAAACACTCTTCAAGCAACAAAATGACCTCTCCAAAACAAAAACAGAAAAAAACTTCTCCCAAATCCACCCAATAGTCTCTGATTTTTTCATACTTTGGTTACAAATAAAGCGTTGGACAAAGTAATAGAAAAATCAGTGTCTGATTCTTTTATGTAACATCTTGCTGGCCAAAGTGTGATTTTGCTAGGCCACTGTGTGATTCTCTTATGTATTGATTTGCTACCAGCAACCCTGCATCTACCCTGGTGCATGTCTATATAGCTTCTTCCCCTAGGCCAATTCCCATATTAATTAGTGTGCAAGACAAATTAATTCAGTTGTATTACTTTTTATTTTCCTAATGAATTGTGATCTTAATGAGCACTTGCAGTTTAATACTAAAGTAAAAAGGGCCTCAAATGACCCTTTTTTGTGAAATTGAAGGGTATGGCTTTTTGCAAAAACTGTCTTCTTTGATTTGCATTACAATTAATTTTAATTCATATATTTATCCTGGTTAAAGATTGGGGGTAGCTCAGTGAAAAGACAGCTTCTAAAATGTGCATACTCCTCCGCTCATTTTAGAGTCAATGCAAGGAAGAGAAGAGAGCACATCTTTGATTGTCCCATTTTTTTAAAAAGCATCTTGGATTGTGCCCCAAAGGATGGAGCTGTGTGCAGCAAAAAGTTTCATTTACTTCAAGTTCTCAGTGTTCATTTACTAAAGAACAATGTGCAGTAGCAGAGTGCCAAGGAACATGAATTAAGATGCTAGGAACATGATGAAGACCAGCACCTGTATTAGTGCCCCCAAAGAGCCACAATTAAAAGTAGATCACTAAATTGACACCATAGCTAAACTCTTGATGGCTCATGAATGCAAAGGAATAGAAGACAAATCATGACAAATCAAAGCACATGAATGAAATGACGGGGTACCTTAATGGAGAGACAGACAGAAAAATTAGATAATTCTGCATATCTTTTGGTGGAAAATATAGAATTAGAAATAGCTATTCAGCTCCGAGGTGTATTGATTGCTTACTAGTTCAGTGATTATGTCAGGCATGGCATACTCATCAGCGATAATAATCGGGCGGGGGGGGGGGGGGGGCATTTTTTTTCCTGTTGTGGCTTGAAGAAACTGCAGAAATTAGGGACTGAAAAGATTGATGCTGCCCAATAGGAAAATACAGCGTTGGAAAAAATCCTATATTAGCTGGAAAGCAGACAGGATGATCCAATACCATCTCTGTGGCTGTACCCAAAGTGTCCATTTTTGTCACATTTATGAAGAATAGCAAGAAATGGTAATCACTGGGACAGAGGGAGGGGCTGAAAAGGGCCTAAAGGGTGTGAAAGAACAAGTTGCACTGACTTTCCCCTGGGACAAAGTTGGTGAAAGTCGGTGCTCAGAAATCACTGTGGAGCCCAGGCTGAATCCCAGGAAGTAGGGGTAAAGGTCTCAGATTTCAATCTCCAGCACAAACGGGAACACTGGCATTGCTATTTTAGCCCAAGCCCTGTGAGCCAAGTCAGTTGACCCAAGCTCAGCAATTTGGTGCTGTGAGTTTTTCTTTGTGGTGTAGACTTACCTGTAGGTGCTTCGGAAAACTTACCTGTAGGTATTTCCCCCACTCCATTTTTTAACTTTTTTCATCTTTACCTTTCTTACTTTGGCTATTTATGTTGCAGCTCTAATCTTTTCCACTCACTTTCAGATTTGTTTCCATCCATGTGCAGAATAAATTTCTATGTGCACCATGGCATGTGACAATGTGCACCACTAGTGGAAACATAAACTCTAGCTGTGGGCATGCTGCTAATCAGCTGGGCAGCATTTGACTCTCTCCTGAGTGTCTGCAGATGTGCACAGCTTACAGAGAACACTGCTAATCACCCCCATTTTGTGGGATCCCTTTGTGAATGGTCACAGTCAGCTTTGGACTTAACGCTTTTAAATCATTTTGATTCATTTGCAAACTTTGCCACCTCAGATCATTTATGGCTGCTTTGAACTTAGTAGACAATACAAAGCCTCAGCCCTCCCCCTCCCCAGCAATTTACCATTTAATAGGGTGAAAACTCCCTATTTATTTTTACTATTTTTTTCCTGTGTGTCCTATTTTATTCCAGCTGCATTTCATTGGCTACTCATTAGTTACTGCTTTAAAATTTTTCAGTCATTTAAGCAGGGAGCAGAAACAAAACCATGGGAGTTAGGTGAATTACTACAGACAACCAATAGCAGTTTGTGAACAAACTCTACCATTATTATTCAACAGATGCTTAAGACTCACAATAGCATTTGAAGCAAGTTGGGCATCGTTTTCAAGGGAATCATTCATTGAAACAAGAGGCCAGCTGGCGTGCTCATTTTCTAACTGAGCAATTTCAGCTTGCCTTGCAATGAAGAAGCAACTTATATTTGCCTATCTTGTCTGGAAATGGTGATGCTCCCACCTATAAACCATGAACAATGCATCCCATGCCATAAGGAGGGGCACTCTACAGCCACATGTGATAAATGTGGCAGACATATTAAACAATAAATCATAGTATAATGCAATGCTGAAAGCTCTGGGCAATGGTGACTTACTTCCCTTCTGCATGTCAGGGCACTCAGGGGAAAAGATTGCATGTCGTCCAAACCAAGGTGTTATAGTTGAGGAAGATCATCTCATAGAAAGAGCATTGTCCCTTGACTTATGTCTGCAGAGAAAGACATTATACTGAAGCAAGCGGATATTATTGGTACTGGGCCATTCCTGAGGTCTTTCCCTCAGTAATAAATGTGTACAATCTGAACGGTAACTCACTTGAAGCACTGGTAGGAAGGGTTCAGCAAGCTGAATCTAGCGCCTGAGCAGTAGACTTTAAATATATTAGGTGTTTTCTCCCACAGTGCAGATTGGTTCCCCGGTCACAGTCTCTTCATAGCATAAGGGCAGAACCATTGTAGGAGACCCCCCCCCCCCAATATGGCAATGGGGAGTTAATATGTTGGTAACTCCCCTGTCCTGAACCTCCTATGAGGTCTCCCAGGAGAATGTTAAGTTTCTCTTGCCAACTATATCATTGAAACAGAGGTGTGGGCACTTGTACTTGGGAGGGGGGGAGAGCATTCCCTTAGTTTCCTGGATCATCGTTGGCACTCAAAGGAAGTTACCAGCACATTCTGGAGAACACCATTTTGGTACCATGCAAGTGGGCCAGGAAGCATTGCGGAAATGCAGTACTGCGCGGGCGCAGAAGTCCAGCACTGTGCCAGCCAGTAGTGTTCACTGCTTTGTTGAACTTTATTTTGGCATTTGATTTTTGTCCAGGGTGGCTTATCTTGGAAGCCCTTAGCTTCCTTCTTCTGGAAGATGGTGATGAGGGCTAGATGCCTGAAGCCAAAGGGAAGTGAAGTCAAGTAATGTGACAAAACTGGGTCCTTGACATGCATAATCCTCACCTTAGCTGGAGTATGCAAATTAATCCATTTCTCCCTGTCATATGAAGTCTGGTGAATAGTCTCTTGCCTTCCCTGGTCCCACTCTGTGGCCAACTACAATCAGTTCAATTTATTTCTTTAATGAAGGCAGCTGTCTCTTCAGGGGCAGGCCAGCCTCTTCCCAGTGGGGAGGCTGAGGTTGGGGCTAGACAGAAGATTGAAAGAGCTGTGCCAGCTCCCATCCTCCAATGCCCTGCCCACCTCTGCCGTAGCCCCAGGCCTTGGCGCAGTTGGAAGCTGGAAGCCAGAGCGAGACAGAGCAGAACACTGGCTACTTGCAGCAGTAAGGGCTGACCGGGTGGGGGGGACCTGGTTCCAGAGCCAGCAGAGCCCTCGGGGTGCAGTGACCATGGAGGGTGGATCCAAGGAGCCTGAGCTAGTGTGGGTTACTTCTTCACTGCTGCTGAAGCTGAGTTCCTAGCCCGTAGTCACCACGCTGTCTACTCTGCTTCAAAGCTGGGCAACAGGAAAGTAGCAGCAGTTATAGGTGGCTATGGGGGAGTGGGCTAAGGCACAGTTCAGAATAGCTGTAACTTTGGCAAGCCTCCTCCTAGTGCTGCCTCTTCTGATCTTGATGCTAGTTCAGTGTGCTGTGGGTTCAGAACCCTGCATCACCCATAAAAGGGTGACTATATGGAATGATTATGCAGTTCCCTTTATGCAATGTGGTCTCAGGAAGGTCTAAGCCCAGACAACAGGATAAAAGCCCAGACATCCTTTATTTGAGCATTTCACAAATAAATTACAAGTTTCTTTGCAACCACATCATAAATCAAAACGTTTATTTACACCTCAGAAACAGCAAGCAATTCAGCAACTAGGGGGCCTAAAGGAACCATTAGCTGGAAAAGTAGCTGAATAAAATATTCAAATTCAAACAAAAGCTTTTCTTTCCCCTCGCTTGAACTTTTGCAAAAAGAAAATCATTTAAAAATAAGTCCCAATGATGACTGAAGAAGACAAGAGTTCATGATGGGGGCAAATGTGATGACCTAGGAGGTTACCACTGAATGCTTCAATTAATCACACAGCATGTCTGTACTGAATTCACCACCGTACATGCTTTTGTTTTACAATCCTCCATCATGGGCAGGGCACATATGCATGCATGCCCATGCTCTGTCCCTTGAGACTAAATTCATTTAACCTCAAAACACCAAAGACAGACAGTTATTAATGTAGAGGAGAAGCATAACTTTCAGAGGATGGGACTAATGCTTGCAATATTGCCATCCTGCTGGTATTGAAGAAAGTTAGGATTAGGTTCTTTCTGTATCCTCTTTCACATTGCTACTGACTTGCTGGTACATAGACAACTAAATCAAAAGGCATCAGTAAACAATTATGCATACGTTTAAATTATATAAATCAATGTAAAGAGAAAGAGCATGAGAGACAGAAATTGCTGAGTGAGGTTTAAATCAATACAACATCAGAGGTGGGAATAAACCATTTCTTTTCAGCAGTTTGGGTTGACCATGCAGAAACCATACCTCTGCTTGAGTCGTGTGTTCATCCATAAATTAAACTGCTTATTCCAAATCCCCATGCTGTATAGCCTCACTCTCTCCTGCTACCTAGATTAAATATAGATCTATATATGTATGTGTGTATCTCTATATATCTACATATCTACACACACATAGGAATTGTGCAACCAGTAACTTTCACTGAGAATTTGTGTGTTTTCGTTTCCTTTGGACATTGAAACATTTTGCAATCATCATAACTTGTGGTTAGGCAAAGTAGTAAGAGCATTGGGCTATACATTTTATACAGTAAAATAGTTATCCATAGCTGCTTTATGCGGGCTATAGTGTTGTCTTCTGAAATAGTTAACATGTGAAATTCAAGGTTACAAATTGTCAAGAATCAAATGGGAAAGAATTATTGGTTTTGTTTTTTGATACCTTTGGGAGATGTACCACTTGGACAGCAGAATTTCTACCGCTGCAGTAAGGGGAATATATATTTTTTCTTGGACCTGTTATTTGTGAGTCTGTCATTTTTGTCATCTTTTATTCAAATTTTACCTGAGATAAACACATTAGGTAAAAACTTGACTTCCAGACAAACAATAACACAATGTGATCTGTGTACAAAGCTCTGCTCTGTGATTAAATGGCTAAGTGTATTGGTAGCAGCAGAGGGGGAAAATTGGCAATCACCATGTCTTAGAAAACCAATGATGCAAAGGGATCACGTAGTATAACATACATGCTTCACTTTCCTGTGATGATTAACTAAAGCATTTGAAACTGGGTCACTTATCAACTGATTGGAAATCCTTAATTTAATCCATGAGATTGTATTACAGAGGACCCTAGTTTGAATGATTACCCAAGAGACCAACAGGACTTATTTGATTAGAAGCTGTGGTCATGCTAAATAAAAGTTAAACAAAATTGTACTGGGAACCTAAGGAATACTTCAAAGAGGTTAGTATGACTCATCTAGAATATAGATTTCCCTAAGTTCAAGACAGACCTACAATAATAGATCAATGATTTCCTAGTGTCTTATGACTAATTATGGTACTCTACTATTTACAGAGGACTGACAAAAGGAATGCATTGAGTGATGAGATGAAATATCTCAAGATATAAGGATTTACAGAGAGCAGGCTGGATTTTTTTTTTTTTTTTAAATCTTGAATATCTCTGGTGAATGGAGTTACTCCTGATTTACCCAGGTGGGAATGAGATGAGAATCGGGCTCCATGGGTATATTATAAAAACATTGTTTGACTGTAATATAAATCTTATTTGACACCCACCATGAAATTAATGCTGGCTTTCCTTTGTTTTGATCTTCAGACCTGCAGTTACTGAGCATAATGTACATTAATATATGCACACAGGCATAATGTGAGCACGTTCATGAGGTGTATTGATAGTGTTTCCGTTAGCAAGTACACTGAAAATGACACATTTATTCTGCTAATCAACACCATTCTTTGATTAACTTAATAACTGTCATATTGGATTCATGTTTTACCAGAAAATACAGGGTTTTGAAATGAAATGATTTATACCAGCACTGCTTTGCATATGCTTCAAATTGAAAATGACTCAATTCAGTGTCTTTCCAAATGCGGATGACCTTGCATGTGTTACACACATATCCACACATAGTGAAATAAATGTAGAAACTAAAATAACTACGTTAAAATAACTGATGGATTACAAAAACAGCAAGATACACCTGGACAAATTCAAAACTTAATCCAACATAAAAAGGAAATGCAAAAAAATGTGAGGTTTTTACTTTTTGATCTTTTCTGATAGTACGTGACAGAGAATGCTGCCAAATTCTGCTAGTTCCTGAGTTTCAGGAAATGATGTAATCTTGGGGCTTTTCCCTTGTGTAAGGAGTCCCGTAAGTTTTAACAGAGCTTCTTATTTGAATAAGGCTGTAAGATTTGGGTTTCTTGATGGATGTTTTTCTAGAATATGGGGCATGGGGAAATGAGAAAGAAATATTAAGATGGTAGCTTTGTCTTCTTTTGTGTGTGCCTAGAATGCACAGAGGTTAGCTCAGGCTGGAAGTAGGGGCATATGAACAGGAGAGAATGAGAGTTGAGGTTGCAAAAAGTCCCCACAATGTTGGATGAGATAACCGCTGTCCCTTTTATAGGTCAAGAATCTGCAATATTATTTGAGATGTTACTCTGCACATATTCTTGCACATAAATGGCAGACAACTGGCTTTACCCAACAGCTTGTTGCTAGGATAAATTTAAACAAAAAAGTTTTGTTTCTGGATTTAGGCCCCCTTAGAATGATCCACACTCCTTGGTCTGAACTAAAAACAGGGATAGCGTCACATAATGTCTCATGGAAGCCCACTGAAATCAATGGGGGAGTGTCTACACAGCAACATTATTTCGGAATAACGACCATTATTCCAAAATAACTATGCGAGCATCTACACAGCAATTCCGTTATTTTGAAATAATTTTGAAATAATGGACGGCTTATTCTGACTTCTGTAAACCTCATTCTATGAAGAATAACGCCTACTCCAAAATAGCTAATTCAAAAAAGGTGTGTATAGATGCTCCAGTTCTGCTATTTCAAAATAGACCCTCACAAGGGCCATTCTAAGTTATTCCTCCTGGGGCTCTAAATCGAGATAGCACATCTACATTAGGGAAGCCTGCCTCAGACTTTGAGGCTTCCCTGCAATGTAGATGTGCTATTTCAAAATAAGCTATTTCGGAATAACTATTCCAGAATAGTTTATTCCAAAATAACCGTGCAGTGTAGATGTAGCCTGTGAGTCTTTGCATTGATGGATTCTGAATGATGCCCAGAGGCAGGGGAAAGAAGGATCCCATTAGAAAAATACATTTATGTGGCAGGACAATTGTTGTTTCCATTACATTCAAGAAGAGAGTTTAGTAGACCAAGGCATGGGGTGCAATTCCTGTTTGGGAAAGATCCATGCTGTCTGCAGTATACATCCATTTTCCTTTTCCATACTTTGCATTTAACACTTTGTTTATATGTATACATGATTGGCAATTATATAGCAGCAGCACTCCCTGGTGCAGAAGACATGCAATTGTTCAGGTGAGAGTGACATTTGAGATAGGCACTTTCTGCTTAAAGGCCTGCAGTTGCCTAAGGAACCTTCCGGAAATCCTTCTCAAAAGAGCCACCCATTGACCTCCAGTACTACTTTCACCATGCGTCATAGATGTTTGAGTTGCCAAAGAAAGAAGATCAGTGAGAATTTTTCCTGGGTGAGGACTTGAAGAGTTAAGCTCTCAGAGAAAATCAGCTTTTTGTATCCAGGTAGTTGATGTCTTAGCAAGAAACCTTCAAATTTAGGGAAGTCTACCACACAAGCTAACATTTTTGCTGCTGCCATATTAATTATTATTTTAGTTAAAAAGGACCTGTTGTAATATTTGGTATAATACAAGAAGTCGGAGAAAAGCTATTGTACAGCAATTTTTCACCACCAATACACATTTAATACCTAGAGTAACATCATGAAAAAAACTAAATGTGTGTTTGGAATTTATTTTTTATACTTCCAGAAAGCTTTCCTATTGAAACATATACATGATGTGGAAGGGATGTATATAATCTCACGGTAGTAATGACAACATACAGTATGACCCTTAAGTATTGTAAAAATGCTAACCAAAAACACAGCTGTGAAGATCTATTGCATAAGAAAGCATTGTTCTTTAAACTTTAAATAAGCAAGTTTATTAAAATATTCTAAGACAATTACCTCACCCTAGTTACTGGCAAGCTCTAGTAAAAGCCACTGTCTGTTACTAGTATAATTTTTTTGTGTATGTTAATTGTATAAAAAATTTGGTGTGAGCTTTGATGGATCATTTACAATTTATTAACAGGATGCTCATCTTGATACAGTTAGAAGTTTTTTGTTTACCTTACATGCTCACAGAATAAAAAAAGGATTAATATTCATACATCATGAACACCTTTTAATTCCATGTTTGCAAACAAGTGTGGTTATTTCACACACACAGAGAAATGATCTTGTTACTTTTAATTGAAAACTGTGTGTACATGTATTTGTATGTGTGCGTATATATATATATATATATATTATATATCTCAAACTCTATATATGAATATATTTATACAATAGGACATCTATTTTCCTCACTGCACTCAGAGATGTCAATGAGAGCCACATGGCAGTAGAGAGAGAACAGGCCTTTGTGGTTAGGGGGTCAAAAATAGAGATAATCACTGCATCTGAGAAGAAATCCTATTACTTCTACTATTCTCCTAGGCCTTCTGACAGGTATACATCTATCTGCTTGATCACCTCTGCAGACCAGGCACTAAGTTTAAAATGCCCTCCACTTTACCAGCAAATAATTACCAGCAAGAGCAAACAGATTCAGGCCCAGAGTGGGCCAATATTCTAGATAATGACCTAGTGCATTTGCTTCAATTGACAGTTTTCAGCCCTCTTGAAAATTACAGCCTCCTTTTCTTCCAGTACTGCTGTCATTGTAATGTAGAGTAAAAAGCTGCTTTCCTTGCTGCCTCATCATGACCACCCGTGGTTGAAGGAAAGAAAATGTGATGGGAAATAGAGCATTGGGAATTCATGCCTCTTGTTCATTGGGCCTGAGGTAAAAGAAATGGCATTGTGGAGGATTGGCTCTGGTCTAGCTGGCACTATAGACATGGTGATTTTAATGGTATGGTTGCAGTTCCTTTTGCCTTTTGTGTTACACCATTGTATAAATAGCATATACAATGGGTTTAGCTATGATAGGACAATTGTTATAACTCATCTGTGGCTCTGTCCCTCCCAAATTTCAGACAAATGTCTCATGAAAGCTAAGCCTATTGTGTATCTCTTCTCTGCATATAAATATATATATATATACACACATACATTCATACATATGCAAATACCAACCCACAGACAAAATATTTGCTTTTGAACAGTTGAATAGCAACAAGTCAACAGATAGAAAAAAATGGAGTCGTTCTATATTCAGCTCCCAGAAGGTCACGTGGAGATGTCATGGTCTTTTAACATTCAGTGAAAATTCGCATAAACCTTGCATCTTGCAAGAGAAAATCCATTATTGAACAACAGGAAGGGCAGAGGTTGTCAAACACTGACGTACAGTCGGATAGACTAAGTGAGGTTGCAAATGAAACTGAATCAGGAGGAACTGAGGCCTAGTAGTGAAGAACAGTAACTGTAAACTGTGATCTTCAAGTTGGATGTTTTCCTTGTCTTGTTGCCATGGCAACGCAGTAGGTCAGCTTCAAATGTCAGGAGTTCTTACAGACCTAGGTGATGGGAAATGTGTGTGGTTATTACTGAGCAGATCACTGCATTCTTTAACTATTCCTTAGGGGGAAAATACATCACATTACTCACTGGGTTGCATGCATGTTATTAAGCAATCACAGCTAAACCATCCAGCTTCAGAAGCAATTATTCGAAGACAGAAATCTATGGAGCAAACCTCAGAATGCCACTTCCGGCACTTAAGGATCTTTATCAGTGGTCTGAGCTCAAAACAGGAGACAGGAGCTCCTGTGACCTAGCCCTTTTGTTCTTTGCACCTTAGTCAATTACACCTGCGTAAAGTGAGCTAAAATGCCAACTAATTCTCTCTTTTCAACCAACAACAGTGCAGGAAAAACAGGAAACTTTTTACAGAATATACAGTTTTAAAATTTATAGTCCAATTGGTGTTTTATGCTCCCTGGAGAGGCTGTGGTAGGAGAGAAACAACCAATGATACACAGGAATCCAAAGTATACCTCTTTTTTTTTTTATCTTAGCCAATTTGAAAACATTCGTGTTTGCAGGTATCACATTGTGAAGCATACATCTGCCTTTTTTAGACAGTCACTCTTTGCATTGCATCAGAAAGGTGACTACAGAAGACCCAAAGAAGCAATTAAGATCTGCTCGAACACTCACTGAAGTTAACGGGAGCCTTTTCGTTGACCCCATTCAGCCTTGGATGGATCCTTCACTGAGCTGAAAATACTGTGTTGGAATTGAGAATGAAGGCACAAGGCGTTAGAAAGAATTCAGGTCAAACTCCACAACTGTGTTGTTTTGCTGGCCCTGGCTCTCAAAAACAAATTAGGGTCCTGATCCTACAATAGCTGGACCCCCATTGCAATAGGGCTACAGGGAGATAGAAGGATCTGTTTACGTGCAGGCTTGGGCCATGAAGGCAAATACCATACACCCATATCAAAAGAGACGAGTGTGTTAAATGACTATACTTGTCAAATATATGTTAAATTTCTTGTCCTCAATCACATGTTTATAATGTGGCCCATTATCTATAAACACATGCAGCTATCCAGGACACAATGGGTATTATTTTGATGCAGGATTGCTATTTCTGCCTGCTTGTTTTTTATTATTTTCTTTTGTTCCTTTCAGGCAAATCGAGTTGAATATCAATTCTAATGAAATCCGTTTTGTTCTGACTAATTATTTTCTCGTTTTTATTGGTTTTGTATTATTTAAATTGAATTTAATGTTAAATTCTACTAACGAGGGAATTACATACAGCACAGCAGAGCTACCTGTGCAAACCTATAATAGCCTACCGTCCCCTATGGCAGAATATGAATTATGCGACATATGTTTCACTAATAAAGATAAGTTGAGGGAAATAAAACAACCGAAAGAATTTAGAGAGAGGCCTTTGAAAAAGTACAGCAGCTCAAGAGCTGAAAAAGAGAATTCAGCCACCACTGGCTATCTTCTACTTACCTTTATATTCACCTACCCACTGCTTTCTCCTTAGTTTGCTTAGATATCATCTATACATACTTATATATTTTTTTCTAAATTTTGAGAACATGTTGCCATGTGATGTCTACTAGGGCTTCACTTACCATGGAACTGCTGTCATTTTTTGAGGTGGGATTTAATGGATGTATAAACAGCACACAGTAATGCTACATACAAATATAGGGCAGAAAGGAGGCTACCTTATATCCATTTCAACCACAGAGTGAATCTTAGTTAGCAAGGATGCAATCACCTGCAGTAGAATGTTGTCTGGATGGCAGAACTGATGTCACCCAGATTTCAAACTACCACAACATTGGAGATGGTTTGATTTTGGAGTTCCAGTGTGGTTATTAAAGACACAGATAATTGCAAAATTCTGACTCAAACTTGGATATGGAAACGTCTTGAGCATTACCACCAATGTTTGGATGAGGGGTTCAGATTTGGACCAATCTTCTATAAACATATTGACCTCCTGTGACAGAGCAAAATACATTTTGCATCTGAAAGGCAATATAATCTCTCCTAGCATTGTGAAGAATAATTTATTCAACCCAGATTCACATAAAATTATACTGACTTTTGAATCAAAAACCTATTCTGAGTTTCTAGAAGTTTCTTGGACGTCTCAGAACTAAGGACAACTAGCCACATATAGCAAATAAACAATAATTAAAACACTTAATATTTGGTAATCCATTGGCTGAAATTTCTTTAGAAAATGAAGTTTTAGTACAAAATTATGAATATTCTAACAAAAATAGGGGTTACACTTGTTGCCTTAATCATTAATTATGAAAAGGTTGGCTAGGTCTAGTTTTGAACATGATTTTTTCATGCTACTTTTTTATATATTGGGGTACGTCTAGACTACAGGGTTTTGTCAACAAAAGTGGACTTTTGTCAACAAAACTATACCTACGGCTAAACTACCGCTGGGTTCTGTCGACATAACATCAATAGAACTCGGCTGTTTTGTCGACGGCTGTAAACCTCATTCTACAAGGAATAACACCTTCTGTCGACAGAATTCTGTCGACAGAAGGCGTTATTGCATCGATACTGTCCTTTGCGTCTACACTCTCATGTCAACAAAGCGGCTTGCTTTGTCGACAGAACTGGATGTATTCTAGACACTCTGGCTACGTCTACACTGGCCCCTTTTCCGGAAGGGGCATGTTAATTTCACCTATCGTAGTAGGGAAATCCGCGGGGGATTTAAATATCCCCCGCGGCATTTAAATAAAAATGTCCGCCGCTTTTTTCCGGCTTTCAAAAAAGCCGGAAAAGAGCGTCTACACTGGCCCCGATCCTCCGGAAAAAGCGCCCTTTTCCGGAGGCTCTTATTCCTACTCCAAAGTAGCCAGTAGAAAAGGGCACTTTTTCCGGAGGATCGGGGCCAGTGTAGACGCTCTTTTCCGGCTTTTTTAAAAGCCGGAAAAAAGCGGCGGACATTTTTATTTAAATGCCGCGGGGGATATTTAAATCCCCCGCGGATTTCCCTACTACGATAGGTGAAATTAACATGCCCCTTCTGGAAAAGGGGCCAGTGTAGACGTAGCCTCTTTGTCAACAGATACTGTTGACAAAGCCTATGTTGACAAAAGCCTGTAGTCTAGACGTGCTCTTGGAATCTAGCAAAACTGTAACATAATATATATCTCCAAACCTTTCTTCACGCAGTATTGATAGTTCTTCCTGTGCTGTGCTAATGAAGAACAAAATACAAAACTTTATGATTTAATGGTTCTATTTTGAAAATTGTCTCCACCTGCAAACAAACAATAACTGCGCACCTACACACACACACACACAAAACCGACACACAAACCAGCCAACCAAAAATCCCACATGCCTGACCTTCATCTCTGGGTGTGATTTCTCAGTGAACTCATCCGCTTACCAGCTAGAATTTAGTTCCTTTCTTCAGGGACTTGTGTAATATTCCCAGTGAAATGCAAATCAAATAAAAGAAATATATTTCAATTTTCCTTGAAAAGTTGCATCAGCTGCTCCCTATAATTGGAACACCACCAAACAGATAATGAAAGGACAAGCAAACAAAAGGCTAGATCCTAAGCCAACCGGAGATACTGGTGTTGTTCAGCAATGCCTATGATCAGACTCATCAGATCATTGGAATTATAAAAGGAGCCACAGAGATTATTAAAGCTTGCACATGGCTGAGAAGTCAATGCCAAAACTGGGCTCCAGTTTAAGTGAGGGATCTAGCATGTCTACACTTGTGAAAAGATCGACCCTCCAGAGGTCAATCTTCTAGAGTTCGATTTAGTGGGTCTAATATAGATCCGTAAATCGAAGCTGAGGCAGTCCCTGCTGGCGTCCAGTACTTCTTGTTCTGTGAGGTGTAAGGGAAGCCAAATGGAGCATACATCCCTCTGTGTGGATGCTGCTACAGCTCATCGTAAGGTAAACCAACTCCAGCTACGTATTTTGCATACCTGGAGTTGCATTCTTTAAGCCAATCTGCCTGGTCTAGGGTAGACCTGGCCTAGATGAGCACTAATTTTCAGCTGTTTGGAGTTATGGAATTTAAGCTTTGATTTTGTGAATGCATACACACAGCCACACACACACACACATTTTTCAGAAACATGAGGGGGAAAAAAAACCCAGCAGGTGGGGATTCCATCTGTATTGGTTTTCCTGAGGAAAAAAATAGACTTTTATTTTCTTTATCAAGAGAAATCTGTCAAGATTTTCAGTGGGAGTTAAGGTTATTTCTTTGTGAGCCATGCAGTCTATCAAATGAAACCCTAGCAACAGTGAGACAAAAAACTGTTAATTCCATAGGATCCAGGGACAGCACAAATGATGTATTGCTACATTCTTCTGGATTTTGATGTAGCCAGAAGCCCTTGATGGGTTTCTTTCTTTTTATCTTATTTTGCAAGCAGTACACATCGGCTACGTCTAGACTGGCATGATTTTCTGCAAAAGCTTTTAACGGAAAAGTTTTTCCGTTAAAAGCATTTGTGGAAAAGAGCATCTAGATTGGCATGGACGCTTTTTCGCAAAAGCACTTTTTGCGGAAAAGCGTCCGTGGCAATCTAGATGCGGTTTTGCACAAAAAAGCCCCAATCGCCATTTTCGTGATCGGGGCTTTTTTGCGCAAAACAATACCGTGTTGTCTACACTGGCCCTCTTGCGCAAGAGGGCTTTTGCCTGAACGGGAGCAGCATAGCATTTCCGCAAGAGCACTGACAATCTTACATGAGATCATCAGTGTTCTTGCGGAAATTCAAGTGGACAGTGTAGACAGCTGGGAAGTTTTTCCACAAAAGCAGCTGCTTTTGCGGAAAAACTTGCCAGTCTAGACGCAGACATCCTCTTTACTTTCTAATCTGGTCTTCAACACAGCCCTGGAGCCATCCTTAGCTTCCGGTGTGCAGATGACAAGCAACAATGGTTAGAGTGGTGCTAGCTACTGTGATTAATTGATTGGATTCACGTTGCCTTCTTTTGCATGTTAATTGCCTATGAGCTGCTTTCATTTTTCTTCAATGAATTTTTTTCCAAATTATGTTTCAAATAATTTCTGTAAATAATTCTCTACTGTGTTAGTTAATTTTGATTGCACACATAATCAACATGATATGATTCATGTTCCCTCATTGAAGTAACCCAACTTTACTAAACCAGTGTGAATATCAAACTTTGCCAAGTCAAAATTGACTTTTGAAGAATATTCTCCAGTAATCACTTAAAATGTAGCATTTTCATAAACTCATTTGCTAACTGGACTATTTTCAGAAGAGCCAAGGTAGTATGCAAGAAACTTGGATAGGAAAAATGGATGAAGCCTCATTGAAATCCATAATGCTATGTTAATTTAAATCAGTTGAGAACCTGACACAATATCAGCAAACAAATCTGAGTGGAACATTTCTAAGACATTTTCTGGCTCTCAATTCAATGTTAATTCTTGTTTGAGATGAGGAAGTTTTACTATTTTTTCCTCATGGCATTGACTAAGCCTAAACTCTCAGCCCAATCTGCATCCACCATCCTACCAAATTTTGGCATGTTTGATTTCTCAGTTCAGGCCCATCTGTGCATGCATGTTCTAAAGTACATCAAAGCGAAAGCGTGTTTTTCAATGGACCTTATTTTTTAGAAAGAACGTGTACCTGCTGTGGTTTGAAGCTTGCAACATACATATGCATAATAAATATTGTGAATATAAAGCATATGAAAATGTGCATAGTGTT